ACAGAATTATCAAATGGTGAGGAATCCAGAAGCAAGTGGTGGTGGGATCCCACATGCAGCAGCAGAGACTAGACACTCAACCACATGTCAGAGATCAAGAGCAGGTCAGCACATCACATGGCCGATGTGGGTGAGCAGAGGAAAAAAATTGGCCTAAGGCAAGTAGAATGACTACTGAGAGAAATTATGGGAACAGCAGCTAGAACAGTGGGGTGACAGGCGTAGCAGAGGCATGTGATCAGTCGTGACCCACAAAGACCCAAAGGAGCTCTCAGCACCACTTGGATATCCATCTGCCTAACTGGTGTCTTCACTCGGCTTCTCTCTTTTATTCCTTGAAGATTAAAATTAACCTTTATGAAATATTTACTGAGCATCTGGGAGCTCACACCATGGGTCAAGCTGAACTTTTTTTCAGAATTTTAAATCATTCAGAAAATCATGCATCTTCATCAGTTTCGACTATTACAACAAAGTAGTACAACTAGGTAGCTCTGTGTGTGTGTGTGTGTGTGTGTGTGTGTGTGTGTGTGTGTGTGTTTGAACCTGGGGTGCTCTACGACTGAGCTACATTCCCAGATTTTTTTATTATTATTATTGGTTATATTAAGACAGGGTCTTGCTAAGTTGCTGAAGCTTGGTTATATTAAGACAGGGCCTTGCTAAGTTCCTCAAACCTATGATCTTGCTGCATTAGCCTCCCAAGTCACTGTGCCTAGATCCTTAGACACTGGGCTTTTAAATAACATATATTTACTTCTCATAATTCTGGAGGCTGTAAATCCAACATAAGAGTGCCATCATGTTCAGGTTCTGGTGAGGGCCGTCTTCTAGACTGCAGTCTGCTGTATACTCACTGTATCTTCACATGGTGGAAAGAGTTTGAGAGAGTTCCTTGGAGTCCTTTTCATAAGGGCACCAACCTCATTCATGAAGACTCCGCCTTATAACCTAATCATCTCCTAAAGGCCCCACCTGCTAATGGTATCACAATGGGGGTAGGATTTCAACATGTAAAGTGCACACAAACATCCACTTTTTTTGGGGGGGTATCATTTTGTAAAGAATATATTGGGGCTGAGTATGGTGGCGCATGCCTGTAATCCCGACAGCTCCAGAGGCTGAGTCAGAAGGATCATGAGTTCAAAGCCAGTCTAAGCAAAAACAAGGCACTGAGCAACTCAGTGAGATCCTCTCTAAATAAAATAGAAAAAAGGGCTGGGGATATGGTTCAGTGGTCGAGTACCACTGAATTCAATTCCTGGTATCCCCTCAGCCCCCCCCCCCCCCCCCAAAAAGAATATATTAGAAAGGTAAAATCCAAAGTCTTTATGTTTTTCCTTTCCCTTTCTGAGGAAACTCCCTTTATTTCTGTTTCTAGTTTCCTCCTCTCCCTGCAGAGGAAGGTTTAGGGTGAATTTTATACCTTCAAGTTGGTGCCTTACAGCCATATCCAGATAGCCTTATCCAAACGTACAAAGAAACTAGTACTGCTTATGTGGACCAAAGAAGAAAGTGAAACAGGGACCAGGGAATTTACAACAACCAATTGAACTAACCTTTCAGATGTGAACACATATTTGCAACAGAGAATACAGAGGTGATGATTTGAAGTCAAACTTCATGGCATATTTTGTGGGCTTTGTTTTTGTTTTGGTCGCCTTTTTTTTTTTTTAGTTTTCAATGGATCGATTGATTATTTATTTGTTTGTTTGTTTATTTATTTATTTATATGTGGTGCTGAGGATAGAACCCAGTGCTTCACACACACCAGGCAAGCACTCTACCACTGAGCCACAACTCCAGTCAATGGCACATTTCTTAAAAGCAATATGGCAGTTCTGAACTTGTCACAGAATTAAGAGGAGAAATGGAAGCCTTTCTTTTGGAGAGCTGACTTGGAAGGGAAGAACAATGGTCAATTCTCTCTTTCTCTACTGTTCCCTGTTCCACTCGAATACAAAACAAACATTTCTTCTGTTTCATGGGTGGAGAGAACAGGCAGTGAGTGACTGAAGGTCCCTCAACACTGAGCTGTAATCAACTTGGTCCATAGTAACCCCAAGCCAGGGTTTTCCTTCTCAGATTATATCCTTTATTTCCCACCTACATAAGTAACAGAGAAGAAGAAGCCATATTTGGTCAACTGCAAAAAGTCAACCATGGGAGGTAAGAGGACCAGGTCTACTCTGCGGGGAGCTCGAGCAGGACTGGCATTGATGGCAGGCAAGTGAAGAGCAGACATGGCAATATTTGAGCTTTCTGTAGAGATAAATAAGTTAGGAAAAGATCAAGAGAGTCTTTAGCTATATGAAGAAGTTTCTTTTCAAAACTTATCCTTAGAGGGGTACCAACTGTCAGAAGCTCTTTCTTCTAATGAAGTTCAAATATACCCAAAATAACTCTCCACAAATTCTCTAATTTTTTATGAAAAATTTTATAATTTGAATGTGATGGTAATTCTAGGGCAGGTCTAACATTTCTTTTTTTTTAATTTTTTTTAGCTGTTGATAGACATTTATTTATTTATTTATTAATATGTGGTGCTGAGGGGCTGGAATTATGGCTCAGTGGTAGAGCGCTCACCTAGCACAGGCGGGACCTGGATTTGATCCTCAGCGCCACATAAAAATAAAGGCATTGTGTTGTGTCCATCTACACCTAAAAAAAATAAATATTTTTTAAAAAAATATGTGGTGCTGAAAATCGGACCCAGTGCTTCATACATGCCAGGCAAATGCACTACCACTGAGCCCCAGCCCCAGCCCTAACATTTCTTGATAAGTAAAATATTTTTTCAACAAAGAAAGCAGGGGAAGTGGCTCAGGGGTAGAGCACTTGCCTAATGTGAATTCCTGTGTTTGATCTCTAGTGTGTACGCACACACACACACACACATACATCATATATATACACACATATACACACACACATACATATGAATATTTTTGTACTCATATATGTACATACACAAAAATATGTGTGTGTATAAATTCATATATATAACATATACAAACACACATTTTTTTTTTCAACAAAGAATAAGATGCTCCAAGATTTTTAAGACGAACTTGATCATTTATGTCCATTTCGTGTCTAAGGCCAATATGGAAAAATTCAGTGCTGTGAATCAGCAGGATTGAAAAAGAGATTATTGAAACAGCGAGTGAAGTATGTGGTTTTCAAAAATATACCTTGGGAAGGGATATGAAAGCAAAAGTTGAAGTCTCTTTAATAAAAATAATTATAATATCTGAAAATCTAATGTAAAAGCACATTACCAAATATTTTTTACAAAAGTCCAGTATTTTGTTGAAACCATTCAGTAATGCTATAGCAGATAGTACTGCTAAAATACTAAATGTGTAGAGAGTGGGGCGGGGGTGGCAAAGAAGGGAAGGATCTCTGGAAAATAGAAAAAATGACAAAATGGGGGGATGACATCAAAGGAGAAGGCAGTAAAATGGGATGGCTAAAGGAGAGAAGAAGGCAAAAAATTGAAAAAGAATAAGAGGTCATCTGAGCAAATTCTGCTACTTTCCTCCCCACCCCCAAAAGACAAGTTAACAAAGAGGAAAAAAAAAACCAGAATTTGCTAAAATGGGAACGAAATAGATACTAAAACACTAAACAAAGGGCTATAGAAAAGGAACAGGAAATCTGGTGCTCAGGCCGTTCCCCTATCTCTACTGTGTGCACATTTGGTACCTCCCTGGCCTCTGTTCAAGGGCACAGTTGATTCCTCTATGAAAAACCTGTAGCCAAAAGAATTTTAAACGTTGTTGTACCATCACGTGCATGTGATCAGAGCTTACTCGACCCAAGCTTTCCCTAGATACTCAGGAAAAGTAAGCCAGGGTTGCACAAACCAATGGGAAACAGAGGTCACAAGGAAGAATTTTAAGGGTGGAATGACACAGAAGTACAGAACAGCCTTTAGCGAGCATCTAAATCCTTTAGGAACCACACTGCTGTCTTGGTGTCTGTCCAGCAAAGCAGTCCTCCTCATACTTTAACACACTGGATAAACCCTGAGTTCTACACTCTTCACCTGGCTAATGCTGCTAATTCTCAGACCACACTGAAAAAATAAGTTATAGAGCATCCTGGTGAACCTGAGTTAGTCAGGTCATGGCGAGGTGGTGGTGGGGAGGGGTAGGCAAACACACACTCATACACACACACACACACACACACACACACACCATACACACGAGTCAGCACCCAAAAGCACATTCTTTCCAGCAGGTAACATACAGAGATAAGGACAGAAGCAACATATATTATTCACTCATAACTGAACTTTGTTCTATTTCCCAAGGATTGAGTCTCTGCAGTTACCCTTTAAGACATCCAGGCAAATAGAATTCTCCTCTATTACACAAATATAGACACAAAGACATACCAGGTGTAAGTCCAGTGAATTATAGTATGTCCCATTAGGTGAACTTAAGAATAACCTCTATAACTTTTTCCTACCTTCTTTTCACCCTATTCCTCTTTCATGGAAGAAACATGTCTCTGAGTAGTCCCAAGCTGAGTATCAAGGGTATTTCAGAAAGTTTTAGTGATTATGCAGAAATATCAAGACAGTGTTAAAATGTACACTTCAGGGCTGAACTGATAGTTTGACTCTGATTTCTCCACCAGCTCTACAGATGTTCCTGACATGGAAGCTTCCTTAGTGCTCCTTGTGTGCATAAGAGAGAAAAGAAGGAAAGTGAGTGAATGAGTATATTCATTCTCCCTAAAAACCAGAAGTTATAGTTTGGCCCATAGTGTTAGGCAGAAGTTATAGTTTGGCCTCATGGAAAGAGTTTGAACTAATGTCCTGTACCAGGTGGATGGTCCCCTCTATGTCTCTGACAGAAACTGCCTGCCGGCGATGTGTGTGGGTGTCCCAGGTAGCTACCTAAGTTTGCATACTTCCTGACTGACAGAACACTCCTGCCAGAGCCTCAGGGCCAGGGTGGCAGAGTCAGTGGGAGGAGTAACCAAGTTTCACTTCCTCACTGTTTGGAGACTCACAGCCACAGCAGGCTCCCAGTTCACCCGAGGAGAAGAGTCTAAGGAGCAGCTGAGCCCCTCTCTCCTCTTCCCCACAGCACCTGGCAGGGGCTTCACAGGCGGACGGAAGGGCACGAATGGGCAGAGCAGAACTTCCAGAAGGGAAAATGAGTACCCAGGATCCCTTGGATCTGTGGAGCAGATCAGATGGAGACGCTGAGCTGCTTCAGGACTTGGGGTGAGAGAGAAAATCCTCTTTTCAAAGTGTTTTCTGGGTGAACTTAACCCCTACTCCATCCTGAAAGCTCAATTAATGATTATCCTTAGCTCTTTCTTTCTCTCTGCCACCTCTGTCTTCTAAACTGGCCACTTTATTTGTCTGTGTGTGTCAGGTATCTTCCCTTTAGGGGCCTAATTCTGTTGTAAAAACAGATTATTTTTTCCAAATGTGAAAGCAGATAAACATAGAACATGGGACAAAAGTCAAATATTGGACATTCTTTAAAAATAGGGACAGAATTGGGATGTGTGAGTTGATGTTGCCTAGTTTCCTTGATATTGCTCTGCTTTACAAATAAATGTGCTCTTAAAGACTTTTGTACAGTGATCTGTTGACAGGCTGTTGCTGGTAAGGTAAACAGAAAGCCTACCCTACTGTAAGTGAGAGGGACTTTTTCTAAAGAGAGAGAATGAGGAAGTTTTTGCCCCAATCTCATTAGTTTCTTTCTCCTCACACTGCATTCATGAGTTCTTTCTTGTATGTATATCTGTAGGGGCAACTTTGAGCCTTTTAAATACCAATAGAACAGAATAAAACTTCTGCCTCAAATAGGTAAGTGTAGGTAGGTGGAGTCATCAGAGTTCTATTTTAAAGAGGGACTAGATGACACAGCTCATGCAGGATATTTACTTCAAGAAACAAGTATTACACAAGAGAAGAAAAGGGAATTTTCTAGAGAAACCAGACCTCCCACCTAATGTACTGGGAATAACCCTGTGAGACTGGTTTTGACACCTGCATTTCCAAAGAGGCCAAACCTGCACCTTCTGCCTGGGTCAATAGCTCTAGATAGAGCTTCACAACCCAACAATATAGAAACTGTTGTCATCTTCTTACAAAGAATAAAAACAAGCACCAAAGGGAAGTTTGAATAACTTGCTTATCTTTCAAACATCAATGTCAAATATCAATGAAATGGCAAAGCTGGGATCCCAAGGGCCATGTCTTTAACCAAGGAAAAACTGAAAAAGAATTGTATCTTTTTGTGTTGTATCACTGTGAAATTTCTCAGTGACTCCTTTCCTTGTGTGTGTGTGTGTGTGTGTGTGTGTGTGTGTGTTGGGGATTGAATCCAGAGGCATTCTACCACTGAGCTACATCCCGAGCCTTTTTTATTTTCTATTTTGATTCAGGGTCTTGCTAAGTTGCTGAGACTGGGATGGGACTGTTCATCCTCCTACCTCAGCCTTCTGTGTCACCCAGATTACCGGTGTGCACATCATGCTCAGCAGTAATTCCCATCTTTAGATTTTAAAACTGAGGTCTCAGAATTGATCTACCTTCTTATGACAAATCAGATGCACTAGGTAGAATTTTCAAAAGGGAAACTCCTGCTACTAGGAAGTCAGAGTTCCATAATATCTCTGTCCTTCTCTATTGAATCTCCAAAGAGAAAAGGTAAAGGCCCGCCCCTCCATGAGCATCTAAAACAGGTATCACTAAATCGAAGTGCTCAAGCTAGACTTGGGGTGTCAAAACTATATTGAATCATTAAGCTCTAAGGCTTCACCCTGTTTTGTTATCTATTGACAGCTCACTGTAGTAAGAAACCCCAAGGGAGAAGAGAGACAGAGAAAATATTCAATTTTGGCCCTAAACTAAACAAATCCTTAAACCCAAGATCTGTGCTTGAGTCCTATTGGTGCACACGTAGATGTCAAAGGAACTGTAGGATGTCCCTGTAGACCACTGTGCTGCCAGGAGGAAGACACTATAGATAAACTCCACATTTCCTTCCCTGTAAAAAGAATAGACACTCGATACTAAGTCCAGAGTCTCCAAGAAAAGAAAAAAGTAAAAAAAAAAAAAAAAAGTGCATTTGTGTCTAGACTTCTTCTTTTCAGAAAAACTGGAAATTCATTAAACATATGAGTTGAGTTGAGTTTTAGTTTTTTTTTTTAAAAAAGAAAAACATGGGCAAAACTACAGGTTGTAGTTATCTGGGGAAACTGCTTATCACTGTGGTTCTCCATCTTTGCTATGCGCCAGAACAACCCAAGGAGTTTTTTTTTGTTTTTGTTTTTAAATTCCTGGTGCCCAGACTACACAACAGACAAATATTCTTGGTATCTCTGGGAAAAGCATTTCTTTCCAAGTGATTCAAAAGTGAGGCTGAGACTGAGACTCACAGCATAGAATATTTACTCTCAAAAGCATTGAGTAAGTGTGGTTTTATTATTTACTTTAAGTGTGTTGGGTGTGTACCTGAATCTTCAAATCACTAATAAATGTTGTTTTGTTTTGTTTTTTTACGGGGGGGGGGGGGTCATTTTGGTTAATAACTTACTTAAGGTATATTTTACATACATAAAATTTACCATTTCAAGTGCATAGTTCAATAAGTTTTATTAACTTTAAGGAGTGATATAACCATCACCATAAATCAGCATTAGAACTTTTTCATTCCACCAGAAGAACTCTCAGGAGCATGGTTCCCCTAGGGTAGGATGGGGAGTAAACAAAATCCTGATTTCTACAGTTTGTCTATTTCCCCAATAGAGACAAACTCAAGCTAGTTGCCTCTACCAAGGAATGGACAAGTTCAAACTGCCAAGGGTTTAATATTTTTAATATTAATATTTAATATTTGCAAATCAAATATTTTACGATTAACCTGAGCCAGTATTTAGCCTTCTAGCACATCACTGATATGCTTTTCATAGGTAATAATTTAAATAATCCTGACAATGACTTGTTGCCTTTGACAGAATTGTGAATCTAAATGAAACTTGTTCTTTGAAGCTTTAACTTACTGAGGGTATTGTCTGGATCAAACCTTCTGATTAATTCAGTTTTTTAAAAAACTCCATAAAAAATGATGTCATGTAATTGATAGATAAAAGGTAGATGGTTTTATTTTTTAAAAATTATTTATTTTCATTGGTGCATTTTAATTATATATAATAGTGACACAGGGCTTGGCAGCACATACTTATAATCTCAGGGGCCACAGTGGCTGAGGCAGGAGCTTGAAAGTACACAGCCAGCCTCAGCACGTTAGGAGGCCCTAAGCAATTTAGTGAGACCCTGGGCCAAAAGTAAAAAGGGCTGAGGGATGTTGCTCAGTGGTTAACTCCCTTTAGGTTCAATTCCAGGAAACAAATAAATAATAATAATAACAACAACAACACGTAATAATAGGAAGGTATCTGACTTTAATGACTTAAGTTTTTAACTATTTTCAGTAGGTTATTTGAGTAGTTAGGTAAATTTTATGTTATATTTTTTATAGCTATACACATAATTTAGTGGTTAAATTATTTTAAAAAAGCATATATCAGTCTTAGTTCTATTTTTCTTCAAGCTCTAGAATATATAAGTTCTGTAAATTGAACCCTGAGCTGAAGTAAATTCATCATTTTCTTTCCAAGTCACTTGCTTAGAGCACAGGATTATTATTCTCTCAAGTCCCTAAATCAAGCAACTCAGATGCATTTCCATCCCTGTCTCATTTATAGTGTCAGTCCAAAAGCATTTATTTTCTTTCAGCCTAAGTGCATTACTGTACCGAAAAGCGAAGGAGGAAGAGGGGAGAAAAAAAAACCTGTCCTAAACTGTGGCTCAGTTTCACTTATACTTTAATGGTGTGGGATTAGGGGGAGTGGGGAGGGGGTGAGGCCTGTTCCCTAATGTGCCACCAGTGTGAACAACTGTGGGTAAGAAGCAGACAGAGATTGTGGTCAGGTCTTCTCTACTTTCAAAATCAAGACAGGGATTTGGTGCAGTGATGGAGGCTGCATTCAACCCCCTTCCCCTGGTCTCTGCAGCCTCTGGCCAGACCCAAGTGGCCAAATGGATCTGGCAGCTCCCCTTGCCCAGGACCCCCAGGACCCCCCACCATCCCCGCTGGCTACTTCTGTTCCCCACTAGAAAGGAGGATGGGGACTAGTGAGCGCTCTGCATCCAGTTCTTCCAGTCTTATTTTGTAATGGATTAAGAGCCAACCTTTGGGGCTGGGCTGGGGCTCAGTGGTAGAGCACTTGCCTTGCACACATGAGGCACTGGGTTCGATCCTCAGCATCACATAAAAATAAATAAATAAAATAAAGATATTGTGTCCATTTACAAATAAAAATATATTTAAAAAAAAAAAAAACAAAAAAAAAAAAACGAGCCAAACTTTGAAGATGCCTACACAAAGCAGCCCGTGTTAGATGCTAGAACATCCCAGCTAGCTGGGTTGGATCAGCTGGACAAGAATAACATAGAGCCCTAAGAGAACAGCATAGAAGAACTAGTGGAGGTTTCCTGGTGGTCTTCTCAGCCCCAGATTGGCGGGGGTGGGGGTGGGGTGTGCAGTTAGAAGATTCCTGTTTTGAAGACAGATTCTGAGTAAAGGATGATGATGAGTTTCCAATGATTTTAATTGGTAGTAGGAAGAACAACAGTTGGCATGGCAACTTAAGATACATAAATGAAAATATTAGCAAAGGTTAAGATGTATATAGATTAAGCTTTCCATGAATTTGCTTGAGATATAAGAATATTTCAAGAGCAGGTCCTTCACCAGAAACAATTTGGAAAGCAAAAGACAGGAAAGGCTGACGTTATGTCAGTTTGTCAGACTTCCTTAAGTTACTTTTAGCCACAAACTACCAAGAAAAGCCCTCTGCCCCTCACAGTTTAAATCACAAGGGTACCACTCTGGCCCTAGACCAAAGATCATAGTGAAGCCCAGAAGCTGGCTAATCCTTCCATGAAACTAATACAACTGTCATTTCCAAACCTAAAGGAAACACTACAGCTGCTTTAGAGATTATCATATTCCTTTAAAAAAAAGAAAAATGTATATACATACATACATACACACACACACACACACACACACACACACACATACACACACAGACAAATTCTGTGTATAAGGACTTATGTTTTTTTAAGCTGTAATTTTTAGCTTCTGGAATTATATGGCCTGTTTCTCTAATAGAAATACAGGGAGCTGTTTAAAAATTTAA